AGCTTCTTTTGTGTGTGTTTTCTTCCCCCATTAGATTGTAACCTCCTTCAGGGCAGGGACTGTCTTTTTCTTATTTGTTTCCCCAGCACTTAGCATAGTACCTGGCACATAGTAGGTAACTTAATAAAAGTTTATTGTAATGTAGTAAATACTTTTGCTTAAAATCTTATTAAGTCTGAATGATTGTTAGTAGGAAGCATATTAGTTGAAGCTTATGAATAATGAGATCTAGCCCCTCAAGATTACTACTTCTAGAACCTGAAAAATAGAAGTAGTAGTCAGACTCTTCAGATCAACTCCATCATTAGGAGTATAGATTGGGAGTAATCCCAGAGTTGTGCTACACTGTGAGGATTTTCAATTAGTATCATACATGTGTTGTAACTACATTTATTTGTTAATTATGCTTAGTTTTTGCTGTTAGCTACATGCATATAATCTGAATATTTTGCGTATTGTGTTTGGCTACTGATATTAGAGCTTTGATTTTGTTTGTTGTTATACATATTTGTATGGGGGCAGCTAGGTGTTAGGGTGTGGAATCAGGAAGATCTGAGTTCAAATCTGGCCTCAGATGCTTACTTGCAATGTGATCCTGGGCAAGTTACCTCACCCTGTTTGCTTCAGTTTCCTCATCTGTCAAATGAGCTTGAGAAGGAAATAACAAACCACTCCAGTATCTTTACCAAGAAAACTCCAAAAGGGGTCACAAAGAGTTGGACACAACTGAAACAACACAACAACAAAACAACAACATGTATATTTGTATTATATGGATATACATTCACTAATTATATATTTGTGTAAATATATCCTGAAAATAATAGGTTCCCAAAGTAGGCAATATTAGGGGGATAGTAGGCAATACTCTAAGGGGTACTGGAACATCAGGGGCAGTAGTAGCCTCAGGTGCAATTGGGGGGCATTGAATAAAAATAAGGGGGTGGTGGAAGCATAAGGAAAGAAGAGAAGATAAAAACATTTTGAAAAACCATTTACACATGTTTCATCTGTTGTATAACAGAGTTAAAGTTGTAGTGATTACATTATTTTCCAAATAAACACACAAAATCCAAGTTACAACTGATCAATGATCAAGTCTGCCAACAGGTCTTAACAAGCAAGTGTTGGCGGATGAGCATGCTGTGCACTGTGGGGAAGTCCAGCACGCATTGGCAGGAATATGTGTGTGTAAAGGCTTGTTTACAATATGGTTACATGATGCAATATTGCATCATCAAAATTTCAATGCAGAAAACTCCCCATAAATTTACAATAAATTATTAAATTTAAGATGCATCGTTTAAAAATTATATTTTTTAAATGATACAAATTTTTAAAAAAACTGTTAAAAGGCTAAAGAAAGTAGATTTCCAGGGGGGTGTTGAATAATTTTTTTTAAAGGGAGCAGTAGGCCAAATAAGTTTGGGAACCTCTGATTAAGATCTAGTCACTGAAGCAGTCTGCCAAGTGATGTATTGTGCTATGTCCATTGCATGCATTGTTGATGAAGATATCTTGTGAATGGCACCCTAAGGTGATTGCTATCACTTTACATGATAGAAATTCCACAAGATAGAGCAGAAAGTGCTGTCCTGAGAGCCATAATACTGCCTTTAGGCTAAAAGTGAGCTAACTATTGTTAACAGGATGTGACTCATTACTTCTCCAGGCTCCACCAGAAGAAAGAAGGGGGAGAGGGAAAGAATGGAGACAGTTGAGGCATGGGTAAGATTCAGCTCCACTGCTTCAAGAAAGAAGGAAGGAGCAGGAACAACAGAACACCTTCTGCAGCCAAGATGTAAAACACTCATGGAATGCCCTCACAGCACCCCCAAATGCTAGACCTGAACCAGGCAAAATTGTAATTGGAAAATATGTAACAAAATAAATAAAAATATAATAGAACATGGATAATGTTAACTTGTGGTTTTCTGAGTTAATATTGAGTCCACAGGGATCCTCATAGTGACTTGCTTCTATTTGAATTTGACCCCACTGTTCTGCAATATCACCTACCAGTATTATACTTCAGTGATAATACCTACAGCACATGCCTCCCTTGAAGGATGGTTGTAAGGCAATAATCATGCTTGCTACAAATGTGAGCCATCATGATTATTCCCAAATGCCTTATTTATTTCTGTTAAGGGTGTGGGTTCCTTCAAGTCCAAAACCATTATATTTGTATAAAACTTTTCCTTCCTGTGCCAAGCAGAGTGACTTACCTATAGCAGGTATTCAATAAATATCTGAATGAATAAATATAAATTTATCTATGCATTGTCCCCAGTAAAATACACATTCTTTTAGAGGCAGAAGATTGAAAATAGGAGGCAATGAAGGGAAAGAGCAAGGCCAAAGGGAGAGGGAATGGACTGGAAGAAAAGCAGATTACATAGTTAAATATAGAGGACCTTGCATTGGAAATCAAGAGACGTGGATTCTAGCCCCAGCTGTCACAAACCCTGTCACAAGCTGTGACAAGCTGTGAAGCGCAACTTGAGTAAGTCACTAATCTCTCTGGGCTTCAGTTTCCTTGTGTGTAAAATGAACAGACTGTACTAACCAATACCTAAAGTTCTTTCTAGCCCTAACATTCTATAAAAGGAAGAGTAAGGAGCAGGGAGGGCAAGAATGATAGAGGTCAGATGTAAAAGATTCTTAGAGAATAAGGGGGTCTTTTTCTACTTTTCCAGTGGTCACAAAGTAAGCAGAAGGATGTTATTACTTGAATAACAAATACTATTGATGGTAGCTTTCCCCCAATATATTCTACCTTAGATAGAGGGCTAGAGGGGAGAACAAATCAGAATCCCACACTTCTCATGATATCAGGTCTGTGATGAAAGCAAACTCTACTACTTTCCCTTCCTTTCACCCCTTGCACTGTAAGTCATTTGGCTTAACATTCTAATACTATGGCTCAGAGGAGCAATGAACAGATTCTTAAAAGCAGGTGATTTACCTATCTGCGGTATTCATTTTAAGAATTATCAAGAGAAACTTAAGTAGCTCAGTATCTTGTTTTAACCCCTTGCTAAGGAGAGATTATATTGGGGGGTCCATTCCTTTTATTGAATTGACATCTGCCTCTCTAAGATGTCTATCCATGTTTAAAGTTCTGCTCACTGGGGCTAAACATAATGAGTTAAATATCTCTTCCACACATAACCATGCAAATATTTGAAGACAGTTCTCAAGACTTCTCTGATCTGGGTTGAACATATCCATTTCCTTAACTGACCCTTGTGTGACATAGTTTCCAGTTCTTTTACCGTTCTGGTCACTGTTCTCTGCACACAATAGGGCAGGTACAGCCAGAGCCAGGCATTGAATTCAGTCATCTCTTTCATTTCAGGGTAGCCATATGCCAGGTTCTGAGTTCAAGCGCCCTTCCCCCCAACCCCACATACTGTCTGTGGGACTCCCCCTCTCCCAGAAGGTCATTTCACTTTTCAGTGATTGCAACAGGCAATCTAAGACAATGTACTACAGAGTAGGTAGGTGATGACCTGCATTGGTACAGGAATTTCCTTCCTGGAAAGTCTCCTACAGAGATGAAATCACAGGTTAGGCTGAATTATATTGAAACAGCTGTCAGAACTGGAGGTTACATCTGCCCAGTGTCTTGTCTCAACTCATTTCAAGCAATGGGAGGATTCTGGAAGAAGTAAAAACGAAGACTATTTGACCCTAATTGGTATAATTTGACCAAAACTTAGGCAAGATTAAGATTTGAAGTTAACTGATCAGCAGCAGTTATTCATCAGACTTGGGATGTAGGCTGACGTCCTGAGAGCGGTCTAGCAAGTGGATGGTCTCTAATTCCTTATTAACTGTAGCCTGACATGGACTTTTACATATGCACAATAACATTGTTGCAAGGCTAGGTAAAAATAAATATGATGTGTTTAAAGTGGTTCCATGTTTTGGAAAGAAAGGGGTCACAAGGTAGAGCAATATTTGATAACCCTATCATTACAATGTATATCTTCAGTACTTTTACCAATCTGAGAGAAGCCATCCAGTTTGGCAGGGACAGGACGGGGCTGGTTTTAGGAGTCATGTTTGCATTTGAATCCTGGCTGTACTTAATTGCTAGGCATCTGGGTAAAGCTACTTGAAAAATCATCTGGTCTTAGAGTTCACGTTTTTAAAATAAAAGTATCTTTTGCAGTACTTGCCTCACAGGGTGATTGTGAAAAATACTTTGTAAATCTGAATACACAAGAGAAGTCTATTAATTATAATTAACAAAATCCCTTCTCTGTCCTCTGGGACCTGCACCTCAAGGGGTAGCTCCCTAAATGTTTAGGGAAAGAGCTGATTTGTGCTTCATCCTGGGGGTCAGTTTTTAATTTTTATTTTTTATTATTATTTTTTATCAGGAATGAAGTTAAAAAAAATGAGCTAAATGTTTCCCTTGGGAAACCCATTCTCTTGGCTAACATGGGGAGCATAATTTCTAGGGAAGGGTCTCTAGACTGAGCTTAAAGAATGGGAATTCTCATCTAAAGCTGTGGCCTCACCTGCAACTCAGTGGGCTTAAATGATAAGACTCGGGGGCTCGAGTAGCGCGAAGAGGTGGTGAGACCTGGGGTGGGGAGCGCTCACCTGCAGTTCAGCATTTCACCGCATGCCGGAGCTCCAAGCGTCTTATCCCTAGGCCAGTCTGATACTGCTCTTCCCACCACGGCTGCCCTTTGCGGGGTCCTCCCCTCTCCCCCTCCCCTCTCCCCCTCCCCTTGCCCTGGATCCAGAGGGGATCCCGAGTTCCTCCAGAGAGAACTTTTCTCTCTTTTCTCCTATCCCAAAATAAAAGCGTACTCGCCTTTCGCCTTCAGGTCTAGCTTCTTTAAGAGATGCTGCGGCCCCACCCGGAAATAATTTAGATACCGATTTATTTAAAAACACATACAAACAACTCCCTCTTCCACCAAAATCCAAACAAAATCAATGTCATTTATTATATGTTTTTTGCTTTTAAAGAGGGCCTTCACCGCTGACAAGCAAAGAGCAAGTATCTCTGGAGGCATTAATAAGAGTCGGTGAGATTAAGGGCTCCCTGTTGAGTCCAAGTGCATAATGGAGGTTCTGGCCCCTCAGCGCTCTCCCTACTCCCAAAAGTCATGCGATAGGAGCCAGTCTTACTTCCTTTAGATTACAGAAACTCATGGTTAGGGGCTGGGTCCTCAGAGTCTACCAGAAGTGTCTTCCCAGACAGAAGATGGCGAGAGATTTCTGAGGATGTCTTCAGGAGTCAACCCAGGCCAGGCCTTTTCGAGTCCTAAATAGTCCAGGGCTGCTCTTGACCACTGTGAATTCCCAGCTTTACAAAAAGTGACAGTTCCTCCCGGAATGAGAGTGAAGTGTGCCCTGTCCAACTGAAAGGGAATCTCCTCTCCTAAGGAGAAATCGTTGAGTTCTTACTCTCCTCTCAGAGCATCTGCTCTTTTTGGGAAGGAAGGACAGCAGAACTGCCCCTTACCTACCTAGCCCCGGGAGCAAAGATAGCCTTGGAGGTAAGAAGGAAAAGTGGAAGCATTTCTGAGGGGCTCAAAGCTTATATGGGTCTAATAGATTGAACCTCTTACTTACACCTTTCCTCCCCACTCTGGCCAGTTCCCCTTCTCCAGAAAGCTTTCTCATCCCTCTTCTCCAGAGACTAGACACTCCTCCCCTCTGTCCACAACCTAGTCTCAACAAGAACGGACTTGTCTAAGATCTGGAGCGATCTCTCGCCCAAGCAAGGTGAGGAAGAAGGCATACAGCACCACAATTTACCTCTTTGCCTAACTTTAGGTCTCGTTAGCGGTTTTTTTGTTTGTTTGTTTTTTCATTGGTGCAGCCTGCCTCCTCAGTGTCTCTCCCCTTATTTTCTGGAGGGTCCTCAGAGTCACCTTGCCAGTTTGGTTCACCTTCCATCCTACACCCAATGCCTACTCTTACTGGTCCTCTCCAGTTCTACATCTGTTCTCTCTGTCCCTGTGTCTGTGTCTACCTCTGCCTGCCTCTGTCTCTCTGTCCCTTCCCCACTCCTGGGGGAAGGGAATCACCTACTTCGCTCCACACCTCCGCCCCTCCGCCCTCCACTTCGCTCCTTGATCAGTCTTCTTACTTCAGTAGCGTTGCTCCGCTGAGCTAGTAGGTAGCAGGTCATAACGCCCTCCGTTGTAGACAACGACTCCAGGTGGGCAGTAGAGGAGATCGGGCTCCACCGAAGCATGCAGGGGAGCGAGGGTCTGCAGGGCCTGTTCCTCCGGCTCAGGCTTAGTAGTGGCGGTGAAGGGGCGCATGCTAGTGAGCGAGGGTGAGGCGATGCGCCAGAGCAGGCTTTTAAGAGCCTTGCGAAACTCTCGGCGCATGAGACAGTAGAGGATGGGGTTGAGGCAGCTATTAGAGTGAGCCAGGCACACGCTCACTGGGAACACGTACACCTGGCTCAGGAAGTACTCGTGGCTGAAATGCACCACATTCAGCTTGATTAGGATACCCCAGGTAGTCAGAGCCTGATTAGGCAGCCAGCACAAGAAGAACGACAGTACGACGATAGTTACAGACTTGGTAACTTTAGAACGCCTCTTGGCGCTGGCTCCAGCCGCGCTGCTGCAACCTTTTCCAGAAGCACTCGGAATACCAGGCTCAACGCCCGCGCCTCCACCTCCCCGGACGGGACGTTCGGAGATGTAGCGCACCAGTAGCAGGTAGCAGAGGCTGATCACCCCTAGGGGCAGCACGAAGCCCAGCAGCACCTTCTGTGTGTGGTACAACCCTAGCCAGAACTGAGAGTCCCCGATCCGCGGCTTGTCCGGGAAGCGTACCAAGCAGAGCTCCTCATCCATCACTGTGGCAGTGGTGGAGAAGATAGCATGGGGCAAAGAGGCCAGCATCGCCGAGACCCAGATCAGCACGCAGAGAGCCTTGGTTGAAAAGCACCAGCCACAGCCTCTGCCGGCCCGGAGGACTCTCCTCCAGCCACCGCCCCTACCCCGTCCTCTGGGCCGGAGGCTCTTGAGAGCAGAGGCCACGGAGTGGTAGCGCGCCACACTCATGGCCGTGAGGAAGAAGACACTAGCGTACATATTCATGGCTGTCACAGTAGCGATGATTTTGCACATGGCCTTGCCGAAGGGCCAGGTGAAGTCTAGTGCGTTCTCCACAGCCCAGAAGGGCAGGGTGAGCACGAACTGGAAGTCAGTCAAGGCCAGGCTAGTGACAAAGAGGTTTATGGAGGACTTACGCCAGCCCTGCTTGCTTTTCATCAGGTACAGGACCAGGAGGTTGCCCACCAGCCCCAAGGCACACACCACTGAATATACCACACTGAGGAGAATCCTCACCACCGCTCCAGCTGGGCCGTCAGTGCCAGTACTCCCGCGAATGCCTGAGCTCGGGAACTGCCCTGCCATGCCGTCTGGTCTCTCCAACTCCAGGCCCCGAAGCTGGTCCCTCATCATTAGCGAAGCGTTTCCACTTGCGTTTCCCAGTTCCAACAGGGACCCCCAAAAGACAGCCCCCTTCATGTTGACAGTGGTGTCTATTCAGTTCGGGCCATGACCTAAAGACTAGGTTTGGAGCAAGTCCGATTTAATCCTTGCACTGCCTCTGGGGCTCCCCTTCCAACCAGGACTTTCTCAGAGCAGCAGCCACCAGGTACCACAAAGTGATTGGCTAAGTGATTACCACAAGACTGATCCTTGGGGGCTTCTCAGCATACACTTGCCCGAAACTGTTGGGCGCTGAGTCCAGGTACGGGAAGAATAAATAGCTCTCGAGACGGAACAGGGAGATAGCCAAGGAGAGCTGTGGGACTGGATGACTGTTTGGCTAGGGGCTTTCAAACTGAAGCGTCCGTCTGTCTTTTTCCCTCCTCGTTCGAAGGTCAGCTGCCGCGAAAGGATCGAAAGATTTCAGGATTGCCGCTTGGATGCTCATGTAATTTTCAGTTTGTCTACTCTCAAAACAAAACAAAACAAAACAAAACATAAAACAAAAACCCAAACAAACCTTTTTCCTGCTTGGTTCTTTACTGCCGCAAGTTTGCCCGCGGATTGTTCTCTAAGGAAGAGAATTCGGTTCGGAAAGATCTCAGTCACTCCCTCTCTCTACTGCACTTAACTCCCAGTGAGTTGTAAGCAGGCAGCTCTCTCCTGAGTTATATTTGCACCCACCGCAGCCTCGGCTACAGGCTCAGAAGAGCATGCGCACTCACCACGCACAAGAGGGGGAGCTTTCCGAGGTTCTGAATCAGGAACTTCCACACCCAAAGTACCTGCAGTTAAATCGCGCGCTGGGAGGGACGTATAGCTTCGACTCGTTAACCCTCATTTTTTGGGGGGAAGAATTTAATTTTGACTTTTGATATTTTTGACTTTCCAGTTTGTCTGTTCCTTCAAAATGGTATTTTCCTTTCTTTTCAACCCAACTCACCCATCCTTCACTTTAGAAATCATTCGAAAGAAGGACGAAGGCAAAATCTGCAAATTTAATCTTCTTCTCCCCGCCCCCAACCCCTCACTATAGGCATAAGAATGACCTCTTTCCGCTCTCCAATATAGTTTCGAACCCAGACCCTAATGAATATGCTGAGCCTTTATCCAAGGTATAAAAATCGTCTGAGATTTAGAAATTAACTTTATTTCTCTTTCTTTAATTACATGGTCGTTTCATCAGAAAACTACAATTACCCGCTTATGCTAAGATGACAGGAAGAACTCTGAATACATCTCCAAGATCAGATGCTTTACAGAGGCACATTTCTACTACATCGTTCCTGGATTTTGAAAGGTGAAGCTTTGCAATTAGTTCAAAAGGAGTTTGTATAAGATTCATGGAGGTTTTCCAATTATTCCATTACTGTCATTTTCCAGGCCCCTGTGACTGAAGGTTTTCCACATTTTTATGGATATTCTAGTTCTCTCCCCGCTTTTGCCATGGCCTTGGAAGATAAAACCTTGAAATCATTGGGAAAGAGTTCAAATTGCTTCCTTAACGCTAATATTGGAGGCAAATTCAAGTGGTCTCTGTCCCTAGTAGGTTCACTCCATCCCTTGGAAAATGTCATTGCTACAAGCTTCTCCAGCGGGGGAGACTGGTATTAAAGGAATTTTACAAAATCCTTTCTTCCTTCTTACCTTCCATCCATCCATCCATCCATCCATCCATCCATCCATCTATCCATCCTTCCTTCTTTCCTTCTTTCCTTCCTTTGTTCTTTCCCCCCTCTTGCCTGCAAAATAAAATATTCTCAATTCTATTTAAAATTGCTATTTAAATCACTATATTTCTCTAAGTGCAAGTGGGATGCTTTATTATTATTGAAAATTACCTGAAACATGTATTGACTGATAACTCACATTTATATAATACATATGATTTACAAAACAGTTTACATGTATTCTTTTATCTGATCACCATAATAGCCCTATGAGGCAGATAGTACAAGTGCAATTGGCCCTCTTTAGAAGTGAGGACATTGAAGTTTAGTCAAGAGAAACATCCTGTTACAGTGGAAAGAGTTCTAGCTTTGGGATCAGAACACTTGGGTTCAAATTTCATTTCTCCTACTTTTGACTGGTGTGACCTTGGATAAATCATTTAACCTTACTGAACCTTAGTTTCCTCATCGATAAAATGATGAGGTTTGTGGGGCAGCTAGATGGCACAGTGGATACAGCATCAGTCCTGGAGTCAGGAGGACCTGAGTTTAAATTTGGTCTCAGACCAGACATTTGACACTTACTAGCTATGTGACTCTGGGCAAGTCACTTAACTCCAAATTGCCTCACCAAAACAAAACAAAACAAAACAAAAAACAACAATAACAACAAAAAAAATGATGAAGTTGGACTGGATGGCCTCTAAGGTTCCTTTTTATTCTAGAGCTAGGATCCCATAATTTATTCAGGTCAAATAGCTAGTTTCAAAACTGGGACACAAGCTCAGGTCCTCTGACCATTCACATTTCATGCTCTTTCAATGCTGCCATTGCAATTCATAGTTTAGTATAAATCACACCTTTTGTTGGCACTGCTCCCAGTCCACCCTTATTCCCAGGCCTCCCATATCCACTGTAAATAAGCAATCAGAAGAAATCATTTTCACACATTATCCCCCCCTCTTACTTTTGAGGTTGAGTGATTACAAGTCTCAGACTTCATTCAGTTTTGATGAAGTGAATAGGAATGAGGTAGAAAGTATTAACTTCGAATAGAAAGAAATAGAGTGAAGGTCTAAAAAATAAGCACATTCAGTTGCAACCTTATCCTTGGCACCTGAAATATAAAGTAGATAAAAAATTAGGATTGCAAAGGAAAAAATTGGAAAATTTAAAGTGGTAAGTTGAGAGTGCATTTGTTAGTAGAAGAGCACATTGACCGCTAGAGGGCTCTAATGTTTCAGGGAAAGAAAAATAAAAGTCATGACAGGTTCTAAATCTGACAGAGGCAAGATTGAATCCTAACTTTCAGAGTTGGCCTGGATACTTTTGGGCCCAGTAAAATATATTAGATATTAACTTTTAGATACTTACTTTTACCTGATTTCTTGGGTCAGGGATCCCAAAAAATCCTCTGCTTGGCACTTCTTTCTTTTCCTAGAAAAATGTGGCATACAAAGGTTTGGAAACATGTGGTTTTCCTGGAAAATCCTCTTCCCCTTCTCCATTTTACATTTCAGGTTTAAGTTAACAGCCAGACTTTACCTCTCATTCCTTTTCTTCCCTTCAGTTTTATTTGTCTCTAAATATTTGGTCCATACTTGATCATTACATTGTCTTGATGGAATGAGGAAACTGCATTCCTTCCTCCTATTTCTGTTTTGTAAGCAACCTAATCAGCTTAATAACTCTTTTTATTATATGAAGAATATAAGAAATCATTAACTGCTTTCTTTTAATGCTCAGCAATAATGCTTTTGTTAATAAGCTAAGCAGAAAGGGACCAGAAAGTGTGCACATGAATAAGGTCTATATTATCCATGTGATTTGACAGCAGTGGACAGAACACCTTTAGCTTCATATAGCTCCATCACTGGAGCTCCCAAGAATCTGAGAAGACTTTTAGACTTATATTGTTGGGGGAGGGTTAAAGGGAGAAAATAAATCATATATACCTTAGGACTGGAAGGGAGAATAGGACATCCTAGAATCATATAATTAGATGAGACTTTAGAGTTAATTTAATTCACTTTTTACATTTTACAGATGAAGAATCTTAGGCTCGTAGAAGGAGCAAAAGACTTACCCAAGGTCACATATCTATATAATTTTTCACCCTGATATATGTTAGGGGGCAAATATTTTCTTCCATTTCTTGTGGTAAAGGAAACAAAGATAAAGAGAGCCTCCCAAGGCTCAGACCTGGAACAGAAGCCTGACCAGAGAAGTTGAGACAGCCTGAACTTTTGCAGTAGGTGAAAGAACTTTTGCCTGAATGTGAAACAGATAAGTGGATCCTTAATGCTCTCTTCCTTTATCATTAGCAATGTTTCTTAGTGAAGTCCTCCAACCTCAGAAACCTATCTTGTTTTTAGCTATCAGATAAGATGGCAAAGACGACAATCAAAGTATGGTATGATTCTTCCAGGTGTCTTTTAATTTTAACTGGGGGATTGTAAAGAGCAAAAAGAAGGTAGTAGAGTGCACTAAGTCAAGAGATCTGTGTTCTAGTCCTGGCTTTACTATTAACTAGTTTGTTTTACCTTGGGCAGGTCATGTTACCTCTCCAGCCCTCAGTTTCTTTATCTTTAAAATGAAGAAGTTATTTTAGCTGATCACCTGGATCCCTTTAAGCCCTAAGATTCATAAGTCTAAGAAAAACTTTTAAAACCTAAAAGAATGAAACTTTAATGATCAGGTTCCAGGATGGAAATCTATGAACTATTTTTCGTGAAGGGCACTGTTATCTTACAAGAAGCTGACATCTTTGTATACTTGCAGGGCAGACAGGCCTAGGATTCATCCTAAGGCATGTAAGAAGGACTTAAATGGCAAGATCCTTAGCTTCTAAGGTAGAAGTAGAAAGGTGAAGGAATAAACTGTAAGAAAACATGAGAGGATGCTTACTCTGGATTGGATATGTGCTTATTTTGCATTTTACAAAGAGCAGAAGACATCCTTTCTAGTTGTGTGATCTTGGCAAATCATAACTTTTCTACACCTCAGGTTCCATATGTGTGTGTGTATAAAACATGTGTATATACACACTTATATATGTATGTGTACATATGTGTATGTAATATACATAGCCATCTACCTAATACATTTACAACTAGTCCATTATATGGCAAGGATCAATAGCTATTTGATCTAGGATCTGGCCCTTCCTGTCTTCAAAGGAGAATGCCATTTCTCTCTCTTTGGGAAGCAAGAGAAATGCCATGGCTGGGTGCTCACACCTTAACTCTCTTATCTTCAAGAAGGGCATTGGGCTAGAATCATATCTATCTATTATGCATCAACTATTTTTAGTCTAGAAGTTTTGTGCTTTCATTTAGGAGTTCAGAATAAAAGTCACTTTCCCAAGTCACTCTAAAAGGAAGGGCAATAGTTTACTCTCATCAACTTCGTTCTCTCCCACCAAATGACTGGTACACAAAAACAATCTAAGAT